ATAGATGATAATAATTATTTATATATCATATTACATAGTTAATGTTAAGCAATTTTTTTAATTTTACTAAAACTTTAATACTTTCAACTTTGTTTTTTGAAATTTTAATAAGAAAACACAATTTTATTTAAAATTCATTAAAAAAAGCATATTAAAGATTTTTAAAAAATTAAATGGTTTTATTTATTTATTAAAAAATTAATCATTATTTTCTTTAATTTAAAAATACTTTTAGTAAATTTTTTATAACATTCTTCTATTTTCAATTTAAATTCTTCAATAACTTTACAGAATAAATTATTATAAACTGATCTTTTACATTCAGAAGTATTAGTATTATATTTATTTTTTTAAATAAACTCTTTGATATTTTATAAGTTTTAAATTTTATTATTCAATAAGAATTTTAAATAAACAACATTACTAAATTATACTACAACTTTAATAGAAATTCCAATAAAATTTGACCCCGAATGAAGAATCAATTACAGTTGTTATTAGAAGAACATAAAAACATTGAAAATAAGACTAGAGAAATCGATGAATCTTTATTAAAAATTCAAGCACATAAAAGAACGTTGATAGGGTGTTTATGTGATGAGCCAATATCCAATCATGTTAATTCAAATGTTTTAAAGAAAAAAACTAATCAGTACAACAAGTCTCTTTCAAGCGGTCCTTTAATAATCATTTCTTATCCAAGACAAAACATTATGAATGCTATACCTAATATTTCTGATATCCAAGTTATATTAGCAAGAAATGTGGACTATAAAGCATTTAGGCTATACACACGTAACTTTAAAAGTAAACACAATCACAGATTTGAAATTTACACTACAACTATTATTGAGATAAATAACAAGTCACATCTAGAAATAACAGACTCTGAAAATAACATATTTACTTCATTTAATAACTTTAGCTCACAATTTAATAATTTTCCATTTAATCTTAATATGTGGTTGTACTACAAATAAATTTATTAAAAATTCTTTCATTTATTTATCCTTAATATGCCTGAAGGGAACGAAGAGAGAATTATGAAAAGTATTAAAGAAGCAGAGAGTTTATTTAATTTAAGAGAGGATGAAGTAACATGGTTTAAAATAAACAGTATATTTAGTGGTTTAAGAGATTACCTTGATTCATTTGATCTTGTAGAGAAGTATTTCATTAATTTTACTTCATTGCTGCAAAGAAGTATCCAATCAGATAGATCAATGTTAAATGGAACTTGTACTAGATTCTTTGATCATTGTTTATCATTTAACAAACAATCTAAACAATTTATTAATTATGTTCCTATTTTTATTAAACTTACGGGAAAAACTAATAAAATATTGGCTTCTCGTGCACAAAATAGTTTACTATTACTTAGTAAATTAGTTGATGTTGGTGTTTTAAGTAAAATGTTCATTGATCCTATTAAGTCTAATAGTAAATCAATAAGAATTGCAGTGTTTAACGTGCTAGAAAAGTTAATTAATAAAGGAAATGTAGATACTTTTAAAGAACATCTAGAAGTGGGTAGTAAAGATCCAACTATAGAAATAAGAACTATATGTAAGAATATTAATAAAAAATTGCTACAGAAAGAAATAAGTACCACTAAAGAAAATATAGTTAATAAAGTAAACAAGGTAATAAAAAAATCAACAACCTCAAATAGTCGTAAAAAAAATGATCTTGTTGTTAAAGCTGCTCTATCTAAAACAAATCCTCTAAAATCAGATGTTATAAAAGAAAGATTATCGATTAGCAAATATTTTAATAATCCAATAAAAAAGACAAACTCAACACAAATGGAAGATAAAATGCTTAAAATAAAGTTAGAAGAGTTTAGAAAAAGTGCAAATGAAACACCTGTAAAAATAAGTTTAAATCAAAATGATCTGATTAAAAGTATAAATGAAAATAACAAATATGAGTTTAAAAACAAAGAGATATTAGAACAAAATGTATTAAGTTTTCTTGATGAAACATACCTTTACAATTCAGAAGTCAATCATTCAAATAATCCAAGTTTAGAACATGTTGTTATTAATGAAGGTGTTGCTAATGAAATTTTACCAATTACAAGTGATGATAGAACGGATTTAAATATAAATAATCTAAATCATTCATTTATGAATATTTCTATAGAACCTTCAATAGTTAAAGAGGAATCTGTTAATAATAAAGATTTAAACAGTAATGATAAAGATAATAATAAAGATTTAAACAGTAATGATAAAGATAATAATAAAGATTTAAACAGTAATGATAAAGATAATAATAAAGATTTAAATAATAATATTATTAATGATGAAGTAATAATTAATCCTATTAAAGTAAGTGAAAATGAAACAACTTATTTAGTTCCATTCGAAGTTTCAAATAATGATGAAGGTGATAATACTATGGAAATTACATTAGAAAAAGAAAACGTTGATAATTTAGATGAAATTATTGTTTTAGAAACAGACAATAATGAACCTGTAGTTCGTTGTTTAGAATTTAATAACACAATTGAATTAGATGAGAGCTATAAAAATCAGTTAAACTATTTTAATACTCACCCATTGAAAAAAATTAGGAAATCAAAACAGAAACCTTTATTTAAAAAAATTAATCAAGTAAAAAAACTAAACGGTGATTATAATAGCAGTGTTTGTAGATCTTTTATTGTAGAATCTGGATCTTCTGAGGTGTTTTCTAAAACAAAAGAATAAAATTTTAAAAATAATCTTTTTAATGAATTTATTAAGAGTTAAGAAGAATGAAGATATTCTTTTGTTAATAGTTTTGATTACTTGTTTAACATTAACAACAGTATATAACTTTAAAGATTTGTTATTTGATAATAAAAAAACATTAAAAACCATTAAGAAGAGGTTTAATATTTTAATGAAGAACAGTAATGATACTGAAAGATTAAGTAAACTTAAAATACTAATTAACAACATTGAAAACACTGAAATTATAAACTACAACGAGATATTTCAATTTTCAAATGAGAAATTAGATGAAGTGTTAAATAATTTAAATTTTAAAAAGAAATTTCTGAAGAAGTACTCGGCTAAATTATTAGCTTCAACATTCTTACCTTTTTTCATGCCAATTGTCATGGCACTCTTAACAGCTTTAAATCTTATT